GCTTTCTAGACAGAGTAATACTGATGTGGAGGTCTGTAGGATGAGTAGGCATTAGGCTGATTGGTAGAAAGGCAGGTGTGGTGAAGGGAAAGGGAAATGTAAAGCACCAGAAGTAAATGGTTTGAGAAATAAGAAACAAGGCATTGAGGCTGGAACAAGGTGGGAGGGCCTGGCTAGAAGTGTGGAATGGTGATGTTAATATGAACAATATCAAAGCTCCACCCAGATTCCTGGGATTTCATTTACCATTTTGTGACTCTTGCCTCGGTGTGATTTTGTTTCCAAAAGCCCTAACGTGTGGTCCTTCATCGAGGATGGTTCTGGGGCTACTGAAGCTCACATTGACCATGTAGAGAAATAGAAGCATCTGGGAATTTACTCTCCCACCCACCCACACACACCCTGAGGGTAGCTTTTACCCGATAACTGACAGAGAAAAATATGAAAGGCCAACTTTCTTGCCTCCAGTCAGGACATTCTGGGATGTAGCTTATACTCCAGAGTTCCCCCGAGGGGTTAGGTTGAACCCACCCTCTGTTGGACATTTCCTGAGATCACACCCTTACTGGGATTTCCTATTCTTGTCTGATTTTATCACTATTATATACCTCCCTGCTTGCTTATCTTTAATAGATCTCTTGCACACAGAGTCTGCTTCTCAGAAACCCAACCACAGAACGATGTAGTAAAAAACCTAATCACCGAGACCCTTGTAAGATATTTGCAGGTGTATGAACTTTATCAGAAAGTGATGAGAAGTCCCAGGAGAGTTTCAAGAGTCATGAGAGGCCTAGAACAGCAAGGAGACTAATATTTTGAGCTCTGCACTCCCTTGGGTGACAGCTCAGCTTGCTCTTCCTGTGCATTCGGATAAAGATATAGCCAATCAGGCACCTCAGAGCAGCTGCACTATGGATTTTCTAAAAAAAGTATAGGAGTTTATTTCTGATCTTAGCTTTCCTTTGGGATCTATTTATCATCCACTCTATATTTCTTTGCCTTCTTTGCACCTGCCACATCACCCCCTCAGAAGTGAATAACTTTTTTTGCACAGGTGTTTTTCTGTGATGTATGTGGCATATTTCACGATGTCACTGATGGACACATTTTGTTAACACCCTCAACTGATTTGCTCTATCACTGAGGCACATAATTTATTCCAATATTTGTATGAAAAGTTAGATGCTGAGGGGATACCTCCTCACTTGAGATTTTACCTATGCACAGTTTATTATGACACATATTATCACCACCTCGTTCCAGATTCTTCTATAATAATTCTGTTCTTTAATTGTGTGGAGGGATGAGAAAGTTCCCATGGTAAAGTACTCTTAACTTGATCATGGAAGCTTCACATGTCACTCCACTTCCACTGAGATCCACAAAGATTTCTTCACCCAAGTTATTATTATTATTTTTTTGTTAACTATACATCGACACCTCTTAAATATACTCCATTGAGCTGAGTGGGTACTATAAAAGGTTTTTTACCCAGGGGACCTACAAAAACCCAGTTTCAAAATTAAGCAGAAAATAAAAATTGTGTGTGCTATTTGCAAAGTCTGTTTGACAGGTGGAAGTGTGGAATTTCTTTTCCTTGAGATAAATCTCTTCTCTTGCTGAGGAAATTCTGTTTTTCAGTGGGCTTTGGGATATTTGCCCCAAGTCACAAATTTATACACTTTGCTGAAAGCCCTGCATGTTATAAACTTGGTTGGCACCAAGAGATCTATGGACCGAGAAGCCTCCTGCTGGGTTTTAAGGGAGAATATTTGCTTAGAAAATGTGAATAAAGGATGAGCTTAAATGAGGCATATGTGCATGATAAACAAATGTGAATATTGGAAATGTAGGTGCTTGGGAGAAATAAAAGGAACACATAGCCAAGACAGGGGGTAATTCCAACTATTTTTGGACAACTAGAGAAAATATGTCTGATAATACAGGATTAGTTTGGTAAGGATCATGTCAAGTACGCCACTGATCACAGAGTGATCGCTAACTCCTGAAAATGAAATAGGATATGATATTCAAGAAAAAATAAATACTAAATAATATAGCAACTTTGTTGCTTATAAGCTATAACAACAAGATAATGACATTTTATCTATAAAAAAATCCTCCTAAAACACAATTTTTGGTGCCAGCGCTTCCTATTCACAAAGCATGGCATTGAGCCTATGTAACACTTCCTTTCAAACAAGGATGATCTCTTCTTAAATTGTTATATTTTCAGAAGATACTATACTTCATTTTGAAAACAAATCTTACAGTCCTGGAGAAAATGATATCCTCTTGTTGTATTTCATGATGTATATAACTAAGGATTCAACAAAGCCATCTCCCCATCCCTGAATATGTAATGTCACTGCCTTATAGAAATGGAGAAGCAGCACTGATATCAGAAGCAAATGATCACAATAAATCTGAGTCAGGCACACAGACTATATAAAACAAAATTGGAAGACAAAGTAAGCAAATAGTGTGTATGCTAAATAACTTTTTTATAGTTAATCTTTACTTGGTTCTTCTTCAAGGTCCTATATATCTAAGACTGCCAAACCTCGATCGCTAGAAAAGCTTAAAAATTGTTTTTCATTGATCTGTGAGTTGTACAGTGGAATACGGGCAAAGCTAATGCCATCACTGTGGATACCATGAAGCAATGCTTCAAACAATGGACCAGTTTGATACAGCATGTGAAGTTGCTTCATCATCAATATGTCTTCATCTTTTGTATGAAATAAATGACATGGGTCATGAGCCATTGATGAAGTCTAAGGTAGCATTTATATTTCTTCACCCCCTACATTATTTTGTATATTTTCCTAAGACCCTGGAGTAAGAAAAAAAATCATACCTGCTTACTTGACAAACTTTCTCAGAATTTGGGATATAATAGAGAAAGTACTAGTAATAAAGAAATTTACACACACACACACACACAAGTTTATATACATGTATATAAAAACTATTTTCCCAAGACGTTTTCTTTCTGCATCTATCTATTAAAAAGAATTTCAACATTTTTTCTGGGAATATCAATTTTGAGCAGACCAACTTAGAATATATTTTAATACTAATAAATAAAGACTAATCTTAAATCTACACATATTAAGATAAATATTACATACTTTTAATTTTTATTTTATGCTCACCCAAGGACATTTTCCCACATTTTGTTCAGATAGAGTGGGAGGGAGGGAGAGGGAGAGAAACATCGACATGAAAGGAACACATCGAGTGGTTGTCACCCACACAATCCAACCAGGGCCGGGGACAAACTGCAACTGAGGTACATGCTTTTAGCGGGAACTGAACCTGGGTCTCTCTGGACCGCAGGCCGATGCTCTAACCACTGAGCCAAACCGGCCAGGGCCATACTTTTAATTGTAAATGAGTTTTTTTTTTTTTTTTTTTTTTTTTTTTTTTAGTATGGATTCAGATTTTTTCAAATTTTATTTCAAGGAAGTGATAGGAAGAATTTTTTTTAACAAACAGTTCAAGGAAAATTGTACAACCACAAGATTTATCCATGAAAGAGAAGATGGCAATCTAAAAGGGAATTCTTCATACAGGCATGAACTTTGTCATATTCTGTTGACGAAATGCCTGTAGTTCATCATAGGTCACTTGTTTAAATGTGTATTTGTCACTCAACCTTCAAGAATTATAAAAACTAAAACAGAAGGTGATTGTCAGATCAAAGTTTGACCAATGTCTTTTCTTTTGTCTTCAATATTTGCTTTTTTCATAATGCTACTGTTTGCTTATTTATTCATGTAAATGAAACAGGAGATACATAGCCTGCAATAATAATCTAACTTGCAGAGTAATTCTCTTATGGCATTGAAATGCTAATGTTGACCATGCATCAATAAGAAAGCCACATTTACTGAATGCATGGGCCTTCTCTAGCTTATGATTATTATGTTTCTAGAAGATCATCATATTTTATGTATAGTTAGGTTTTCCATCATCATCATATATTTTAATGGGAAATTATTTTTTTTGGTTTATGCAGTTCACCAAGACCAAATTTTCTAAAGTGTATTCCATAAAACACCAGTTCCCCAGAATGTTACTCAGTTAAAGAATCTATGATCAAATAAGTACAGGATAAGCCCCTGTGTAAAAAAAGTTTGTTAAAATATTTACTTGTGTATTTTTACTACAGGTTTCTCAAAACCTTTTAAGATGCTAATAAATATTGGTACTCTCCCAGACGATGTTTTGTAGAATATCCCATTCTTGTTTTACATTTTTAACCTTATACCTGAGAGCATTTCATGTGACTGGTGTTTTGAGGAACATGTTTAGCCAGATGCTAAACTAAAAAAGTGTGGTAGCTGCTTTTCCCAGACCAAAAGCAAGGCAAAAATTTTAAATGACTGATTTCTTCAATAATACCCTCATAAGTTTCCAGAGCCTTCCCAAAGTGTAATGATCATCCTTAAAAAACATTGGGAGTTGAAATGAATTATGAACTACTGCAAAAAATATATCTGGACAGAATTAAGAATTTCTCACAGGAGAAACCATTTCTCTAGGAATATTGGATGCACCCAAGTTTTCTTGTGGGTGAATTGATAATTTACCAAAGGACATACCCAAAGATATTACTATAGACTATAGACAGGACTATCAAAGTGGAAGGTGATATAGAGAGACACCTTGGTACAAGTCATTTATCTTAGAGATGACAAGAATGAATCCGAGAGGTACAGTGGCATGCTCCAGGTCACAGCTAGCAAAACTAGAGATAAAATCAGGTCTCATGAGTGTGAGTCTTAGTATAGATTTATTTATCTCATTTTGGGGTTTTTCCTCTTTTTTGGGTAAGGTAACACCAGCACACAGTATCTTGGGGGAAATACTATAAGAAAGGTATTATCCTTCAGATACGGGGGTGGGGGGGTGGGGGGGGGAGGTTTCTCATTCTAGTCCTGTCATTCTTAAACTGTAGGGAATAATGCATTTGTTAAAATGACTATTTCCAGATCCCATCATTCACCGATTCTGGCGAGGTAGAGCTGGAGAAGTGTGATGCCCAGGTATGTGCCTTTTTAACAGGACTTTCAGATGGCTCTGAAGCAGGTGTTCTGAGAAACATAGTTTGAGAAAAACATCTAATTGGTTGTTAATTTGGTTTAGTAGGTAATCCTAAGTCCTTTGATTTGGCATATTCTATATAGTGCTGAAGTACTAAAATCAGAGTTAACTAAAGGAAAAAGTGGAATATCATAAATCTACTGTGAACATTTCATAGTGTATTTATAAATTTTTCTGAATCACATCATTTAACTTGAGTTGTTGCAGTGTGGTTTGTCAAATGTGTGTATCATTCACTATTGAGAGATGTTAAGGTTCAAAGCTAAATAAACCAGATCCCTTGTTTTTAGAAAACATTATTTTTGGAGGCAAAGAAAAATGTTCTAAGAGGAAGCATGATAAAAGAAATCTCAACTGCCTTGTTGGATATGAAGTGGTTCTTAGGAATCAACATCTTGAAATATTTAAATGTAAATAAATCAGAAGAAAATAAATTATATGATATTCTATGTACACTTGAGTTTTAAGAATGAAAGAAAATATGTGGCAAAGTGGTTCTGAGGTTTTCCTAAGGTAGTAGGATTGCCATAGTAGCTATATTTCAGGTGCAGTAATCAAACCAGCCAAAGAGTGGAAAACAAGCAACTGTTACTCAGACTTGCCATTTTCTTGAAACACACACTACTCTTCTCCCGTCCTCATGCTCTTCTATCCACCCCTCACACACCCAATCTTTTCTTCTTCTAACAACCCCTTCTTCAGTTCTGTGTAGAACAGAGGAGCACGAAGGGAAAGAATGTGTCTCAGTTATGCTGCCCCCAAGAGACTTGGCATTAAGTCTTGTCCACAAATCTAAGCCCACAACACATCCAAGTATGTGGATCCTGGAGGGGAAATATTGTGGGGCAAGGACAATGATATAAGCCAACTTATAAGCATATTAAATTATATAGAAAGGAAAGTATATTTATTGTTTTCATATACTCCACCGGAAGACACCCCCCCCACACACACACAAAGCAGTTTATTGGTTGTGCCTCTTCCAGCTGTCTGTTTAAGTGACAGGACTATCATGTTACATTATCTTCCTCTCTCTTCTCTGCTTTTGAAGGTATCATGTATCTATTGGGATAATATATCCAAACGATACAACTTTCTCACTTCTATTATTTCTCAAGTCTAATAAAGAAAGGCTTACAGAACTGATCATGAGTTATGGAGCTAACTACTTAACCACCTAAAGGTTGAGGGGTAGCTTTGCTCATAACTTGACTTTGTACTGATTATCTTCCATTTACTCACAGAGACACTCTCTTTTCTGTTCTGTTCTTTGCTGTACCCTGGGAAGCTGACCTTCTGGGTTTGCATCATTGAGCTTGCCCTCTGACATCTAGTTGTATTTTGCCAATGAGAGGCCCCCACAAGAAAATGGAAAGCAGGAGGACAGTGAGGTCAGGCTATTTATTCCCTAGCTTCTTCCCTGCTAGGACAGCACAGATTAACTACTTTGCTCCACAGATCTCATTAGGTGGCCTCTCTATATAGCCACCTTCTCTAGGTTCTGGTAACTACTCTCTCCCATGGTTCTCAGGTCTACTGTTGCTAGTCCTAGAGAATTATACTCTCCCTCTAGACATTGGTTTTCCAAACCCTGCCATATCCCACTGGAGTGTGCCATTTCTTTCCTGCAGAGATCCTGGATAATATAACATTCGATTTAGGAATTATATCTAGTTTTTAGCAAAATGAAAACTGACATTTAAAAGCTTAAATTTCTTTGCAAAAGATATAAATAAATGGAAGCACACATGATGCTCATTGATAGGAAGAATTAACATTATTAAAATGTCCATACTACCCAAAGCAATCTTTAGATTTAATGTAAATACCAATGGTGTTATTCACAGAACTCAAACAAATAATCCAAAAATATATATGAAACCACAAAAGACCCTGAATAGCTACAGTAATATTGATAAAGAAGAACAAAGTTGGAGTTATCATGCTACCTAATATCAAACTATACTATAAGGCCATAGTAATCAAGTCATTATGGTACTGGCATGAAAACAGACACACAGATCAATGGAACAAAATAGAGTGCCCAGAAATAAACCTACACTTATGTGGTCAGTTGCAATGTGACAAAGGAGGCAAGAACATACAGTGGGGTAAAGACAGTCTATTCAACACATGATGTTGAGTAAATTGGACAGATACATACAAAAAAAAGAAACTAGACCACCTTCTTACACCATATATGAGAAAAAACTCAAAATGGATTAAAGACTTAAATGTAAGACTCAAAACCATAAAAGTCCTAGAAGAAAACATAGGCAGTAAAATATCTGACATTTCTTTTAGCAATATTTTTTTTCTGATCTATCTACTCAGGTAAGAGAAACAAAAGAAAAACAAATGGGACTACATCAAACTAAAAAGGCTTTGTACAGCAAAGGAAACCATCAACAAAATGAAAAGACAATCTACCAAATGGGAGAACATAATCATCAATGACACATCCTTTAAGGGGTTAATATTTAAAAAACTATTCCCAAAACTCATAGAACTCAACACCAAAAACAACAAATAATCCAATTAACATAGGGAGAGGACTTGAATAGACACTTCTCCAAAGAGGACATACAAATAGATGGCCAATAGACGCACGAAAAGATGCTCAATGTCACTAATCATCAGATAAATGCAAATTAAAATCACATAAGATATTACCTCACACTTGTCAGAATGGCTGCCATCAATAAATAAACAAACAAGTGCTCGCGAAGGTGTGGAGAAAAAAGTAACCCTCGTGCATTATTGGTGGGGATTCAGATTGGCGCAGCCACTGTGGAAAATAGTATGGAGGATGCTCAAAAAATTGAAAGTGAAATGGCCTTAAGACCAGTGATTCCACTTCTCCTTATATAGCTAAAGAAACCTAAAGCACTAGTTTGAAAGAATATATGCACCCCTCTGTTTATTGCAGCATTATTTACAATAGCCAAGGTATGGCAGCAATGTAAGTGCCCATCAATAGATAAGTGGATTAAGAAGTGGTGGTACATATATACAATAGAATATTACTCAGCCATAAAAAGAATGAAATCTTCCTATTTATGACACTGTGGATGAACATAGAGGGTATAAGTGAAATAAGTGAAATAACTGACTAAGTGAAATAAGTGAGAGGAAGACAAATACCATATGATTTCACTTATATGTGGAATCTAATGAACAAAGTAAATGAACAAACAAAATTGGAAAGATACAGAGAACAGACTGATGGTTGCCAGAGGGGAGGGGTATTGGGGGACTGAGTGAAAAGATGAAGAGATTAAGAAGTACAAATTGGTAGTTACAGAATAGTTATACAGATGTGAAGTACAGCATAGGGAATATAGTCAATCATATTGTAATAACTAAGTATGGAGACAGGTGAATACTGGAAATATCAGGGTGGGAGGACATGTTGTAAAGTATATTATTGTCTAACATTATGCTATACACCTTACATCTGAAGTTAATAAAAAATATTAAATATTAAGTGTAACTAAAAAATAAAATAAAACAAAAACATTATGAATTTTCAGGTTCTTGATATTCTGGCTTCCCAATATGATAGAGCTGCTTTATAACATTAGTCAAATCATATCACGGCAAGTTTTAGGTTCTGTGTCTCTAAAATCTGGTAAATTTAGTTCTAGTTTCATAAATAATAAAGCATATCTATGTAAAGTGCATGTTTTATGGAAACACTAAATAATAGAGTTCTTGTGTTTTTCCTATCTAAAAAATAAATAAAAGCTTAAATTTCTGTTTACCATTATATAGTTATGTAGTAACATGGCACCTGGCACATAGTAATTTTTCACTAATTATTAAAGGAATAAACAAATGAATTGTATCTTTAGACTCAAATCTAAAGATGTAAACCATTACATATAATTTTTTTGTGTACTCGCATGTGTGCTCCTTGACAAAAATGTATTCTGTTGCTTGGACAGTGCATGGGCATGTAGTTTATTTTTTCTCAAGAAGATGTGAATCCCCTCCCATCAGAGAAAAAGATGAAATAATAAACAAGACTTACCCAGTCATATTTGTGATAAATGCTTATTGAGTTTCCATATTTTGACTCAATTCAGGATTCTCTTTTTCCCTCTGATGAACATGTTAGTAAAACACAGTCCCCATTTGGTGTATTCATGTTCATAAGGGAATGGTGAGTACATAAGCCAGGGTATGAGTCAGAGAGAGTGTTTAGTGTCCCTCTTCTACTTACCCCATGAGCACATTGGTTGGCTAGCCAGACTAGACTCCAAGAGGGTGACCTAGTGACTTTATCCTTGAACGTCTTGTACAGTTAAGAGTACCACTTAGAGACCTATTCCTTTTGCTCATGCCCTGCTTTAGTGGGTTTTATGTGGCTAACTGTGTCTGCAATCAGTCACAAGTGTCCAGAATAGCCCTCTCAAAAAGAAAAAATCAATGAGCAAATGCTGCATGCCACTGTCAGGACAGCCTCTTAGTTGTTAACTCCAAGGAGAACCCAGAATGCTTCTGATGGCCTTGTTGTTATGAGGTTTGATCAACTATATTTTCATTTATAAGACCCTATTGCAAATGTGTCTGATCTAACACACCAAGAAAAAAACTAATGACTATTTTTTGTCACTCTAAACTGGATTGCTGCAGCTGGACACATAATATCCAGTCATTAGGAACCAAGATATCCTGAAAATCTATGCCATTATCTTCTTTTAAAAATGAAGCTTCATATTATCAGCAAAATGAGCTGATTGTCTTTCAGGATGGGGAGGAACAACAAACACTATAGAATTCAGGATAAAATGTTTAGGTTGTTTCAATAATTAAAACTAAAGATATGAAGTGACCCAGAATCAACCAAGGAGCAATGCAATACATTCTCAAAAACTAAATTATGGGCTCCCATTTCCAGTGCTCTTCACCTGCCATGTTGTAGAAACCAAATGTTCTT